TACTTTTTCTTTACCAATTTAAGTGTGGGCTCGCAGGCAATTGCGGGAAGGAACTAAACCCTTCCTATTTTTACAAGTCCTTTGGTGTTTGGTCCTCCTCTGTGAATTTTTGCTAGTTTGCAATTTAAACTGGGTAACATTAAAAAAAGTGGGCGTGACCTAACTTCAGGTTCATTAGTTACTTTCTGTGAAACATCTCTTTCATCCTGCGACTGCCTACTCCATATTCTTGAAAAGCCTGGGGTATGTGGAGTAACGCCCAGACCGCGTGCTGCATGCGTGACGGTCTGTTTGGATTTTTCATCCACCCTCTCCACACCTCATCCTGCTGTGGGACCTCGGCGGGTGTAAGAAGTGGGAACGAGATAGATGTAGCACGGGTCGACATATTCATGTGCAAGGCACGGCTGCGTACTCCTCGTTGAACACTGGCTGATCTAGTCCCCTGGATTTGTTGAACTATCGCGTGTCCGGCACACGTAAACGGCTGGTTCACGCCACGACGGTCACTGCACTCCATCCTATTCCCAGTCGACTTGACTTGGACGAGCCACTGATGCATCGAAGAGGAACAACTGAATGTGCCTGTAAATAACTATGACGCGTTAGCCATTGTGACCTGGGAAGTTACCAACTGAAGGGATGATTCGGTCTCCCGTATGCCTAATAGTCAGATCCGTATTTCTCCGCATAGCCTTTAGGGCACCTTCCCATGCTGTCCCAGGAAATGTTAACCGAAATTCTGAGCTATGTTTTCGATTAAGTAAAGAGTATTTAAGTGGGGTTGTACTACGACCTATCGTGCAAAATAAACCCAAAATACTTCAGTCGAGTCAGGATGCTGGCTTCTGAATAAGCTTATTTCCGGCTGCCTGTGAAAACCACACTACCACTGCCACACTACCACTACTTCAGTGGCATGCATTTTCCGTTGATTTTCATTGCCTTTAAAAAAATAAAATAAATTTTATAGAAAGCATACACAAAACTCTTCCTTTCCGTACTCATTTGGTATCGAGTTGCGCTTTTAATTTCTTACTGAAATAAAGGGTACATTTGGAGTTTAAAAAAACTTATTTAAATTTCTGAATAATTTTGAACCCGACCTGCTTTGCATTCTGGGTTTCCGAACTACATTATATATATGAGTTTTGTTTAAGAAAACTCACACATTTTTCTGTGCTTTTCGAAAAAGGTCATATATTGCTCAAAAAATATCGCAGTGGATATGGACTATGTTGTGTAATTAGCACGCAGCATTATAAATAGACATTTTAAGATTTTTAAAAGTATAACAGTTGGATGCTTTCTCAAAATCTAGAGATCCTCTATTTGAGTGTAACCTTTGAACAAGAGGTAATTTACCACCAAAAGATTGTCTTCTACTAAATATGATTAAATTTTATAAGAGTATCTAAAACCAATTAGGAAAATGTCCACTACTTTTCTACAGACCGTTCTTTCTGACAGACCGCCGGAAAGGACCTCAGGTAAAAACCGAAATCCTAGCATGACTGAAATATTTTGAGATCATTTCGCGCGATAACTAATATTACGGATTTGCTGAAGTAATCATACCGAGCATTTCAGAAATACCAAGAACATTTGATAAGATAGAAAATCCACTGTACGTAATCGTAGACGCCATCAACGAAGCCTGGCCGGCGTAGAGACAAGGAGCAGATCGTGTATGTCATGCACAACCGGGCTATTTAAGTTTGTTATCCACCGCATCCACTCCCGTCTCGGACCTTTCTGATAATATCTGGCCATGGGGACGCGGTGACTGTGACGTGGACGTAAAGTCGAGACAACTGAAACAGGCGAAACTTCCCGAGTAAGTCAGTGTTTTGTTACTTCGTGGACCTTGGGACTGGCCAACTATTTAAGTCGCGTGCATTTTTAAATCCCATATTCCCGGGCCCAAGGTCACAGAACTGCTTAATTCGTCTGAATCCTTTGGTAGACCTTAGAGAAGTTTAATTTCCTGTCTTAATAGTCTCCTTCTCCCCTTTCGGTCAGATGTGTTACAACGGTTCCTGTATGGCGCTTTCATCAATTCCTGTGCCCATTACCTGCAACTGCAACTCACATGGGGTAAGTGTCATTAATTTTCCCTAGCCTGTTTCTGCGTGTTTGTTACCTATTTCACACATCGCTACAGTTTGCACAGTATACATACTGTTCCATCTAATCGCCCCACAGGTTTGCAACAATCTCGGCAATTGTCACTGTAATCCAGGCTTCGCCCCTCCGTATTGCCTTGATAGTGGTGACGGAGGATCAATTAACAGCGGTCCACCACCTCCATGTGAGTTCCACCCTCTTGCTCATCCCCTTGCCGAGCGTTTTTCTGGGACCTTCGGTGTGTCCTTTTCTTGGCTACCGAGTTCTTATGTATGAGCACTTGTGCGTCACTGTACTCTCGTAAACTCTTCTCTTTTGAACTAATTTGCCGCAAATTTAGTGTTTAGATTGAGTTTCATGCCTGCCTTTCTCGCCTTTTCCCCTGCATTTACTTCTGCTTTAAATTAGAGTCAAGTTTATGGTAGATTAGAGACTCAAGCAACTTCCGGCTAGGTAAACACTTTCTCTCTCTAACTGTTAAGTAAATGTCCATCCAATTTCCGTTTGAATTCATCAGTGGAGT